TTATGCAAACACAAGCTTCACCACACCCCAGAATTGCCCCTAACCACCCACATTCTCTTTGCAACCCCAAGACATACCTCATATCACATCAAGAATCAGCCTATATTGTATAGATTTGCCCGAAAATGCACAGAATTGGGTCACAAATTCCAGAAATGCCACACTAGGTGCAGACAGAGCCCGATTCCTAAGGGACTACAACTCTCAGGAAAACACACACACACACACACACACACACACACACAGATTTCCTGTAAGGAATATAAATGCAAAGATTTATATTCTTTATATATAATATACAATATAAAATGCAAATAAAATGCAAAGATTGCCCCATCACATGGAGATTGACTATAGCTGTCCAGAATCAACCCATGAAATATATAGTCTCACCCCATGACTTCAAGACACGTCCCACAATATACAGACTGTCATGCATAGACCACAACACCTGGACATGTCTTACAATGTGAGGACATGATCCACACTCTGTAGACTACCGTAGCATTGCATATAATTGAATCCAGAAAATCATAATCATAAAAGTCACAGCACCTAGAATCAGTCCCACAAAGCATGCTGACCCCAAACCAGATGCCCATGACTGACTGGGTCCACACTTTATAGAGATAGCCTATGGTAAAAAGGAATTTGAGGACAAAAAAGAAAAAAATATAGAGAGATATATGACAACCCACAGCTTCACCGTGTGCCATTTATATACGTCTCTCTTTTTTTGTTTTTTGAGACAGAGTCTTGCTCTGTCACCAGGCTGGAGTGCAGTGGCACAATCTTGGCTCACTGCAACCTCTGCCTCCCGGGTTCAAGTGATTCTCCTGCCTCACCCTCCTGAGTAGCTGAGACTACAGGCGCACGCCACCATTCCCAGCTAATTTTTGTATTTTTAGTAGAGATGGGGTTTCACTATGTTGGCCAGGATGGTCTCCATCTCTTGACCTCATGATCCACCCACCTCAGTCTCCCAAAGTGCTGGGATTACAGGCATGAGCCACCGCCCCCGGCCTTTATGTATCTCTTTTAATGTAGAGAACAGCCTCACAGGACAGACATGTATCCCACTTGGCACAGATCGGCACCACAAGAAACTCCCTCACAGGACCTACACTTCCCTATACTTTGAATAACCCACATACTTGATCACAACCCACTTTCCTATCAGAAAGACTCGTGCCACAACATAAAGCTCATTATTCCAAAATACATAGAACCAACTCCCAATGCAAAGAGACTTCCCTTGTAACAAAAAGATGTTCTCTGCCACACTCAGACTTACCTCGCCTCACCAGACTTGACCCACAACATCTAGCCTTGCACCACTGCACAGAGACATGTCATTTCACCCAGAAAATAGCCCCAGAACACTCAGGGTTGCCTCGTGGTCTTTATACACTCAGACTCATCTCATGATGCAGAAGAGGCATATACAGCGAAAATCTGATCCACAATGCGCATACTCAGTCCACAACGCATAGACTTACTCCATATTTCACAGCTGGTTCTCATAATTCCCAGACTTGCTGCACAATACTCGGAAGGCCTTACAACACCTAGAAAAAGTAGCATGATATGTATGCTCACTCTAGAACATTCAGATTCACTTCATAAGGGACAAACTCAGTCAGTTACATTGAATACCCAACAACATATTGTTTGCTCCACAGATTTTGAGGAGAGGGCCTACATGCTCACACAGAGCTTTGACAAGTGACTTCATTTCTTTCTTTTTTTTTTTTTGAGATGGAGTCTTGCTCTGTTGCCCAGGCTGGAGTGCAGTGGCACAATCTCAGCTCACTGCAACCTCCATCTCCCGGTTCAAGCACTTCTCCTGCCTCAGCATCCCAAGTAGCTGGGATTACAGGTGCGTGCCACCACAGCTGGCTAATTTTTTTATATTTCTGGTAGAGACGGAGTTTCATCATGTTGGCCAGGCTGGTCTCGAACTCCTGACCTGGTGATCCGCCTGCCTCAGCCTCCCAAAGTGCTGGGATTACAGGCATTAGCTAGCGTGCCCAGCCGACTTCATGTCTTTGAGTCTGTTTACCTATTTGTAAACATGGATGCAATATCTACTTTTAGACTATTCCAAGGATGAAATGAGATAACTTCAGGAAAGAATCAAGGTTCAGAACATAGAATTTAGAGGCAGACTTACCTGCTTCCAATCCTAGCTCCACCACTCCCTGGTGCTATTACGTGGGCACATTAGATATTGAAATGCTCTGTGGTAGAGTACAAGGAATATAAGTTTGGTGTCTGTCAGACCTGATTTTGAATTCTGTCTCTGCCACTTACTGGCCATATGACCTTAGGCAAGGTACTTTAATTCACCAATCTTCAGCTCCTCACTTACAAATTGGGGAAGATGGTGTTCCCTGCCTTCGAGGCTGTTGTAAGGACTAAATGATGCCTGGCATCTTAATCTAACAAGCAAGAATGTACAGGCACAGACACCGACTCACACCCAATGCATGAGTATATGTATATTATGTACACATGGATACATAGACATGCAGAAGCTCACACAGATGAATATTTGCAAGCAGTAAACATAAGGACAAAACATGTCCACATGGACACAGACATTATCTTATATGGCTGGACTCATGCAGAGATAAATACAGGTGAATACAGATATAGTCCCACAGATTTACATATGTACACCTAGACATGGCTACTGCCCCTGAACAAGACAGGATTTCACCCATTTAAATGATGACACACTCAAAACCCCCATTATAAGCCAGGTGTGACAGCTCATGCCTGTAATCTCATCACTTTGGGAGGCTGAGGCGGTTGGATCACCTGAGGTCAAGAGTTTGAGACCAGCCTGGCCAACATGGTGAAACCCCGTCTCCACTAAAAATACAAAAATTAGCCGGGCGTGGTGGCAGGTGCCTATAATCCCAGCTACTCGGGAGGCTGAGGCAGGAGAATCGCTTGAACCCGGGAGGCAGAGGTTGCAGTGAGCCGAGATTGAGCCATTGCACTCCAGCCTGGGTGACAAAAGTGAAACTCCACCTCACAAAACAACAACAACAAAAAACAAACACAAAAAAACCATTACAGGCCCATGCATAAAGAGCTCTATAAATGTACTTGCATGTACAGACATTTAAATGCACAGGCAGATGTACACTCAGATGCCATGTATACCCACACAGAAATACCCAAGCAGACTACATCATAAGCATGTAAGAGACATATACATATATCTTTAGATAATACCTATCTAAACATACTTTAGACATGCATACGTACATATAGACATACACAGGCACACAAATGCACAGATATACAGACATGCACCCTCACGTGTCAACATATGCACACATTGGCATGCACATATCCACACACACTGTTCTACAAATGTACTCCTAGGTTCATGACATACAAGTCCTAAATGCACATCGAATACATGGATATACACATATACATATGCCAATGCCAATGTAGGTTATATGGATGCATTTATAGACTTAATCATGCCACAAACAGAAACACAGATTTACACATGCACAGACATTAGAGACACATGCAATTTATGCATATGAAAAACAGAGACACCTAACCACAAAGAAGCACTTTTACAAAGGTGGCTGTGACTTTTTTTTTTTTTTTTGAGACAAAGTCTTGTTCTGTCGCCCAGGCTGGAGTGCAGTGGTGTGATCACAGCTCACTGCAACCTCCATCTCTCAGGTTCAAGCAGTTCTCTGCCTCAGCCTCCCAAGTAGCTGGGATTACTGGCACCCACCACCACGCCTGGCTAATTTTTGTATTTTTAGTAGAGACAAGGTTTCACCATCTTAGCTAGGCTGGTCTCAAACTCCTGAGCTCAGGTGATCCACCCGTCTTGGTCTCCCAAAGTGCTGGGATTACAGGCATGAGCCACCGCGCCCGGCCGAGGCTGTGACTTTTATTCTATTTTATTTTATTTTTTATTATACTTAAGTTCTAGGGTACATGTGCTCAACATGCAGGTTTGTTACATATGGATACATGTGCCATGTTGGTGTGCTGCACCCATTAACTCGTCATTTACATTAGGTATATCTCCTAATGCTATCCCTCCCCCCTCCCCCCACCCCGTAATAGGCCCCGGTGTGTGATGTTCCCCTTCCTGTGTCCAAGTGATCTCATTGTTCAATTCCCACCTATGAGTGAGAACATGCGGTGTTTGGTTTTCTGTTCGTGCCTTTGTCTTAGTCTTTTCAAGAGAAAATGAAAAATTATCAAGCTCCTTCTGCTAAATATGCTGTATAAAAGTAGATGTGGACTTTTACCAGAAGGATCTCTAGAAGATCTTGAGTTCACATGCGAGTATGCACACACCTCACAAACCCATGTGCACAGAATCAGAGACATAAAATCACATGGAATCACAGAAATAGAAACATGTGCATAGCCACATATAGAAAGATACACGGACAGACACACACCCCACTGAAATGTCAAACTGTAATATTTAAATGCATGTCTATTGAAGTTAAAAAAAAAAAACAAACCTGCATTTTAATCCCAGCTCCATCACTTACTAGTTCAATGATTTGGGGCCATTTTCTTGCCTTCTCACCTGTAACACGGGAGTAATATTAGCACCTATCTTTTAGAGCTCTTTGAAGATGTAGTGAAATGAAGGGCTTAGCCCAGTGCTTAGAACGTCATAGATGTTGCTGCTATTGCTGTTATCTTTTGGTTTTGGTCCAAAGTGCTTAGCTAGATAGGGTTTGGTTTTTGTGGTCAAACTGCATGATTATATCATAGAGATGTATTAATCAACTTTTTTTGTAAATGTATTAAAGAATAGTTTATTAATGTAGTAATATGGATTATGTCCACAAACAAGGTCATTTCTGAAATTCTCAGCAATAATAAGGGATTATTATTGTCTTTGGCAAATGAAAAGACCTGAAACAAATATTTCCTGCTAGTGTAGTTTGTTGTTGTTATTATTGTCATTAGTGTTCTTTTCCTCTTTTCAGGAGGAGATGGAAGATTGAGAGACAGAGGAGTGGAAGAATGGGAAGAGGGCTTCGCGCCCAGTGCACATTTGCCACCTAGTGACTAAACTGAGTAAGTACCGTATTTGTGGACTGCTCAGACAAGTCCCTAAAACTTTGCTCATTGCAAGGTTGTGTAATCACCCTGGTGAATAAGCAAGTATACATCAAGTTATAGCGATTTCCGCTACATATCTAGAAATTTTAAAAAAGTCATAAAATAAAAACAAATCTTTCTCTTTAACTTTTCCCCCTGCCATCCCAAATTTCCCTGTGGAATTCACTGAGACCGTGTTCTATAGCAGTGATCTTCATACTTTCTAATTATTTACCACCTAACATCATTTTGGAAAACGGTCTACTCCATCACACATCTTGAAGTGAACACCTGAAATTTCTTATCATAAGTTTAAGTATTTGTAGCATATTTCCAGCGTATTGTGAATACTCAGACTTTTAAATAAATTATTTCATCAAATTTTTGCATGCAAAAATAAATGAAATAAAAATACCATACTCATTTGATATTCATAATTGTTGATTTAAAAAAACATGAACAAGGTCTTCTTTAGCATCAGAAATTTTACATAGTATTCCTGTCTCCTTGAACTTGCCATTCCATTCGACTTCCCTCAGATAATGTATAATAATGTATATATTTTAAATGGTTAAAGGCCCCTTATTGGTCACCTTACCATACATGCCTGCAAAAAGTATATAAGAATTGAAATAAATTTTCTGTGACTCTAAACCTCAAAAGATTAAAATTTTTATCATAAATTTATTAGTAGTACAACACAATCAGAAGAACATAAAATATTACACATTTGGTAAGTAAAATTGGTTGAAAATACATCCCTTTTTTTTTTTTTTTTTTTTTTTTTTTTCCTTGAACAGAGTCTTGCTTTGTTGCCAAGGCTGGAGTGCAGTGACGTGATTTCAGCTCACTGTAAACTCCACCTTCCAGGTTCAAGCAATTCTCATGCCTCAGCCTCCTGAGAAGCTGGGATTACAGGCACGCGCCACCATGCCCGGCTAATTTTTTTGTGTTTTTAGTAGAGACAGGGTTTCGCCATGTTGGCCAGGCTGGTCTCAAACTCCCGATCTCAGGTGATTCGCATGCTCGGCCTCCCAAAGTGCTGGGATTACAGGCGTGAGCCACCCCGCCTGGCCAAAAATACCTCTCTTAAGTGAATATGATTTTATTTTCCCCAAACTAATTTTTGAATCTGAGGATGACCCTTACTTATTTCTAATGAGACAGACTTCAGCTCCTGTCTTTCATTTTTATAGATAAAAGAACTCAGAAAATTTCATTCCCATAAATAATCATGTAGTGACCTGTCATCAAAGATAATTTTTAATGATTAAAAATATTTTAACTAAATTTTTGAGTTTTAACAGACAACTTGATTAGACCCATCTTTAATTCTGTGAAAGCAAAGAAACCTTCTGATTTACTAAAGGATTTGTTGTTCAGTCACTTTTTCAGTTTCCGGGAAGTTTACTAAAATGGCTTTCCCCAAATTTATTACATAACTATTACATCTGTCATATTTTCATTTGCGGCATTATTTAAAATTCATTATACATATAAAAGGTTGTGAAAATCAAAGTACTTAGATCAATATGTCTTTGCCAATACAATAATTTTGATAAAATGCTATTGATTGATTGATTGATTGATTGAGACGGAGTTTCGCTCTTGGTGTCCAGGCTGGAGTGTAATGGCTCGATCTCGGCTCTCTGCAGCCTCCTAGTGACCAAACTGAGTAAGTACCATATTTGTGGTCTTGAAGCCTCCCGGGTTCAAGCGATTCTCCTGCCTCAGCCTCCCAAGTAGCTGGGATTCCAGGCATGCGCCACCACGCCCAAGTAGTTTTTGTATATTTAGTAGAGATGGGGTTTTCCATGTTTGTCAGGCTGGTCTCAATCTCCCAACCTCAGATGATCCACTGACCTCGGCCTCCCAAAGTGCTGGGATTACAGGCATGAGCTACTGCACCCAGCCTTTAATTTATTATATTCTATAAATATAAGAACTTGAGGCTACAGATTTGAATTAACAATTTTATAGAAAATATTCATAATATAATTTAATTGGCAAAGGCAGTATTCATATAAAAAAACAATCAACAAAATCAGATTTACTTTCAGAAAGAATGTCTGACTTCATTTTTCAAGGAAAAAATATTAATATACATTTTGAGGTGCATTATTCAAACCATGGATAAATCAATTATGAAGCACCCTGTTAAACAGATAACTAGCAAAGTAAATATCATATTAAAATAAAAATGAGGTTTTTATCCACTTCAAAATAAATTAAGAAATTAAATAATAACTTTGTTTCTGATATATAATTTTAAATTAAATAATGTAGTATGTAGTTACCATTGGACGTCATACATGAAACAAGGTATCTGAATGTAGGCAGAATTTCTCATGTAAATATGTATGCATGTGTTTTTAGAACATTGGAGTTGAATTTCTGGGAATAATTAACTAAGAATAGCATATACATTTTTTTTTCCTCAAATCCATACATTTAATTAGACCATAGAATTAAACTTTTCTTTTTTTCTTTTCTTTTTTTTTTTTTTTTTTTTTGAGACAGAGACTCGCTCTGTTGCCAGGCTGGAGTGCAGTGGGGTGATCTCGGCTCACTGCAACCTCCCCCTCCCAGGTTCAAGCGATTCTCCTGCCTCAGCCTCCTGAGTAGCTGGGATTACAGGCGCCCGCCATCACGCCCAGCTAATTTTTGTGTGTTTAGTAGAGACGGGGTTTCACCATGTTGGCCAGGATGGTCTCGATCTCCTGACCTCATGATCCGTCCACCTCGGCCTCCCAAAGTGCTGGGATTACAGGCGTGAGCCACTGCACTCAGCCTAGAATCAAACTTTTTTACGATATTTTATGAAAGAGTCTGAAAAATAATTGCTAAATATAAAACTCGTATGTCATTTTATTTTTGATAATAGGAAGTAGAAAGTATAAAGATTATTTATAAAATGAATTTATTTATTTATTTTTTTGGAGTCAGAGTCTCACTCTTTTGCCCAGGCTGGAGTGCAGTGGTGCAATCTTGGCTCACTGCAACCTCCACCTCCCAGATTCAAGTGATTCTCATGCCTCAGCCTCCCGAGTAGCTGTGATTATAGGTGTGAGTCACGACACCTGGTTAATTTTTGTCTTTTTAGTAGAGGCAGGGTTTCACCACGTTGCCCAGGCTGGTCTCGAGCTCCTACGCTCAAGCAATCCACTTGCCTTGGCCTCCCAAAGTGCTGAGATTACAAGCTTTAGCCACCGCAGTAGGCTGAGGATTGATTTTAATTGGAAAAGATATTTTACAATACAGTCTGAGAAACCAGGTTCTAATAAGTTGAATACAATGATCACATAATTTCTGAAATAAATCACATAATTTCTTCTTTAATTTTTAACTTTTTAAATATTCTTGATACATTTGTACATACTTATGAGGTACATGTGAAATTTTTTCACATGCCTAGAATTTGTAATGTTCAAGTCAAGGTATTTAAGGTAACTGTCACCTGAGTATTTATCATTTCTCTGTGTTAGGTACATTTCAGCTCCTCTCGTCTAGCTATTCCGAAAAACACAATGCGTTGTTGTTACCTACAGTTACCTTACTATGCTATCAAACACTAGAACTTATTCCTTCTATTTAACTGTATGTTTGTGTCAATTAATGAGCCTCTCTTCATCCCTCCCGTCCTGCCTATACAGCATTCCCAGTCTCTGGTGTCTATTATTCTACTATCTACCTCCATGAGATCAACTTTTTTAGCTCCCACATATGAGTGAGAATATGTGCTATTTGTCTTTTTGTGCCTGGTTTATTTTACTTAAGATAATGACTTCCAGTTCCATCCATGTTGCTGCAAATGGTAAGATTTCATTCTTTTTTATGACCCAGTAGTATTCCATGGTTTATATGTAACACATTTTCCTTATCCATCCATCTGTGGATGGACACTTAGGTTGATTACATAGCTTTGCTATTGTGTATAGTGCTGCAATAAACATGGGAGCACATGTATCCCTTTGATATATTAGTTTCTGTTCTTTTAGATAAATACCCAGTAGTGGCATTGCCAGTTTTCTATACATAAGTTTTACCAAAGTCTAAATATTTTTTAGCATTAGAAAACAGTCCAATTATGTTGAAAAGAATGAGTGTCAGCAATATCTACTGTAACTAGTTAGGAGATGCTTCCCCCCCCCTCCCCCGGTTGATGACATATGTTAGTGATTAATATTGAGACTAGCTGGAAAAGAATGCTTAATTTTAAGCATGTGGGAAAAAATGGTGTTCTTAGGCAGTTTCATTTTAAGAGAGAATACAGGTAAGAGTTGAGAACCTGAAAGTAGATTCATGGATACTGTTCCTACTCAGGTACTTCTTGAAAAGAATTTGTGTAACAGTAGCCTAGTTTGAAGACCACTGTTCTAGTCTGTCTCCTGCAAGATTGTTCCAGAACAATACATTGTTGTAATTCTTGGAATCACCCATTTATTGTAGTTTATGTTCACTACTGTGCAATGGGAGTAGCTGTCACTTTTGGATTTCTGCTGGATGCTTCTGTGAGTGATCATGTTTGAGCAAAATGTCCTGGAAGGGATTTTTTGGTTTTGTTGATACATGCACATTTTGACTAAACTTGTTTTGTCCAGTTTGGGAGCCACAATCACATGTGGCTAACATTTAAAATGTGGCTAGCACAAACAGATATGCTGTAAGCATAAAATACACACTGGATTTCAAGGACAGGACAAACACAGATAAAGTATTTCACTAGTATTTTATGTTAACTACATGTTGAAATAATATTTTGATGATATAGAATTACATAGTGCATTTCACGAGAATTAATTTTACTTGATTTTTAAACTTTTAAAAAATGTTGCAACATGAAAATTTAAAGTTACTTGTGAAGCTCACATTATATATATTATATGACAGTGCTGGTCTAAAGTTTATGTTGGAAATCTCTCTAAGTTTCCCTAAAACCACTTCTATGGAAAAAATTGATTTTCCACTAATCTGGT